TGATTACAGTATTTACAAGTCTAATTCTCATGTTACTGTAACACAAATAATTTCAAAGATACATTACATTTTTCTGCTGTAGCAAAACATTTTTACAACGTGTTTTGAATTGCTGTGGTAGGGCTCAACCTTTATGTTTTAGACAAGAGCACCTGTACACAACTAATCTAGATAATTGTAGTTAATTACAGCAGCTTCATGTAAATAGTCTACTTTTCCTCTGCGAGTTCCCAGTTCATATCTCTTCATGACCMTATTACATACACCTTCATATTCCACAAAAATAAGCAGATAATTTTCTCTTGGGAAATCTCATTAGTCTAAACTAGGCATGCTCTGCCACAGCAGCCCTTTCAACAAAAAAAACTGAAAAGGAGATCTTTCTTTGGGATATACACTGCACATTGGCTAATTAGGTGAGATCTGAAGCATGRTAAAGTGTTATCCCAGCAATAATATTCTACAGGAATTCTATATCTGCATTGCAACCTTTTACTGAAGGTCAAAGTCCTGGAAAATTCTTCTTATATTATCTCTAGCTATTAAAATTAATGTAATTCCACTTTACCTAAAAAAAAAAAAAAAGTTGTAAAATATGAAGCACATCCTAAATTCAAGTAACACTCAAATGTAGGAGGTAATTTTAAATCAATATTTTCAGACTGAAGTCATAAAGCACTACATATAATTAGTTGTACAGAACGTAAATCAAAGGAGTGCTTCCAGAGTAAAATGCTATGCTGAAAAGATAAAAATATATATMAAATTCTACACAGAGTGTCTGTGGCAAAAGTTCTTTCATACTAAGGCCTTAGTTCATTCTAAAGTAATGGGATTTTGCCTCTAGTGGAACAGAGTTTAAAAAAATCACCCAGGGACCTGAAGCCTTCTCCATCGCTCACAGGGGAACGATCAGCCCATTTCTCTTACAAATATGTCTTTCTAGGAGGGTGGGCTGTGTTACAACCCTAATTAAAGGATTTGTGGGCACTGCTATAATACAGCTCACTCTCTCCTCCTGCAAAACACYAGTTCCTCATTCCCCTTCCCATCACCGGCATTTCACCTAGGTTTGAGGAGAACAGCTGTGGAGTCTCCATCCTGTTCATGCACTGCACTGCCTCTGGCTCTGCTGGAAGCACGGAATGCCTGAGCCTGGGTCAGCTGCACACCGTGCTGCTTTCATCAGCCTGCTGGGAGCTCTGGCTCAGGGACATGAACCAGACCTGCTCCATGCACTGGCCACCATCCTGAGCTCCATCACTGCTTACTGGCCACACCAGCATCGCTCTAAGGGGCAGGTTTTTCATGAAGCGTACATGGTTGTGCAAACAAGTCATTTTTGTGATCTCTACAAGGAATACCTCCATGTGACAACTGTGTACCCAGATAAGCCTCATTTGATCATCTGCCAATGTACTTTATAGGTGAAAATCTGATCCCAAATTCCTGTTTATGTGATATGGTATGTTTTTGATTTAGTAATTTACTTTTTTCATTCTAACTTTTTAAGTGTCACTTAATAAGATATCCACTGCTATCACAGGGAAGAACATTTCAAGCACTACAAAAAGTAAATACCTCCATTCTGGTGAATTCAGTCTTGAGATGACAACAAAATATATCCATCAAAGTAATTTAGAAAATACATATATTCCATAAACCATAATCGTAAAGTTAGACAAATCAAACTGAGTAACCAGCAGTAATGGAACAGAACAGTGTTGTTTATTCCCGAGATCGGAAGTTAGGGACCTCCTGTTTGTAGGAATTGCATTTTGAAAAATTGCCTCAGACTTACTGGAGCACTTGTCTTATTTTTGAAAATGGCTTTTAGACTGCTCTGAAGAATAAAGTCAGAATTTRGTCACAGTAAATCATGAAAGCTGTCAAAGCTAGTAAATGTTGGGCATGAGGCAAGCTGCCCTTTGATTTCAAATTCTTTTCAAATACCCTCATCTGATGTARGTTTTTCAGTGTAAGAAAACAAAATCTGCATTAGGATTTTGTTAACCAACACACTTGACAAGGACTCAGAAAAAGTGACTTGTACTTGTCAACCTGAATCACAGATAARAATTCAGGTCAAAATAGAGTCAGAACCCTGCATTTGTTTTGCCAACTGTATCAGCAGGACTCAAGGTAACCACATTACAGTACAATTTAATTTGCTGTTTAAAAGTCAGACAAAATATAAATATCTTACAGACCACACTGTGTACTTTGTTTTTAATGTTAATGAATATTTATGTATTTTAATGACAAGTCTTAATTGTAAAGGCTGTCATGCCTAAAGTCTCCTATTGAAGGTTCTGAGCAGAGTCCATAGAAATTTTTACAGATGTTTAGGGGTTCCTTGAACTTCAGGTAAGTCCAGCTCTTGACTTCACACTGGGCAACCTAAAAGTTAAGCCACATATTTAAGGGCATTGCCCAAATGCATACACATGTACAGGTTTAGGGCTATGACCACTTTTCTGCGGAGCTTGTTCGAGTGCTTGACCACATTTTCCTTATATACAATCTGAACTTTCCCTGATGCTGCTCTAAGACATTTTTATGCCATGGAACATTTGCTAATGGGAATCTGTGGCACAGTGGACTCCTTCATGGTTTTTTTTTCACATGACAAACTGCCAATAACAAAAATAGGGATCATTTTAGCCAATTTAACATTGGCTGGAAGGCAAAAGTCATGCCAACCRAATTTAGAAATAATGAGTATGCTTTTAACTGTGACGATCACTGACACAGCCACTAGGAAAAAAGATGCATTCTTTGCCATTTGTAGGAGGACTCATGTGACAAGGTGCAGAAGTTCACAGCAGAGACATCCACATTTATGTTAAGTTCATAGATTTCCCTTACAGACAACAGAAAAAACCACACATTTTTAGGGCATGATTCATCTCATCCTAGAGTAGACACATAAACTAAGATGAATTAAAGTTGACTTCTCTGAAAGTCTTTATTGCAATAGTTTTACAGGGTAAATATCCAYGTGAGAGGAATCCTAATCTTAATACATCTGAAAACAAATCAGAATATGCCTCTATGAAAGATAAGCCTTATTTGAAGCACAACTTCTAGGTTACATACCAAGGTAACGACATTCTACAATATCACCATCCTTCCTGCCCTGAAATCTWTTATACCTAAAACTGATGAGAGAATTAAGAAATGCTGATGAGATTCTCAGTGCCTCTACTTCCACTTTATGTGCAATGAACTGACTTTTTCCTTCTGAATTCTAAAGTAGGTTTATTGGCTCTTTTTGAAAATATTTGGTTATTCTATTCCCAGCCTTTTATTCTATACATTTTTCCTCTGCAATGTCTTTCTAATCTTTCTTTTMTAGGTTTTCCTAGACAGAAAGTGAATATGTGAGAAATTTTCTGGAAAATAATGAGCGGTAATGAAAACAGTCACAAAAAGCGAGTTTCAGAGTGTTATAAACACATATTATAGTGCTGGCTTTCACAAATATTGAGATGAGTGTTATGTGTGTGTTAAACACATATTGTAAGGAAACACATATTGTTGGTTCTCGCAGAGATTAAAGGTAGATGCTATGTGTTGTGCATCATGATATAATTTTGTTTTATTTGTAGAAGAAGTTTAGTTATGCAGACATAGTTGTGAAAATTATCACTGATTTTCTTTCGTAACTCAGATATAGTTATAGAATATTTGTGGTTAAACTGAAATATTATGGTTTGTGACCTAAATATTTCCATAAAGGGTATTTTTCATATTATAGCAAAACTATACAAAAGGGTGGGGGTAGAAGGAACAGAGGCCTTGGGGAAAAGTCTCCAGTCAAGASAGCTCGTGGAACGTCCAAAGGAACCTGGCTGATGGGACCCCCAACCTTTGGACAGCCATATCTGCAATGGACAGGCCARGGGCGTCGTGACCCATTAGGGGTCCCTGCTACGGACACTTSTCTATCAACAAGGACCATCTGCTGAAACTACAGAACAGGGGCCACACACACATGACCCCAGGGACATAAACATCATCACTGCTCATGCTCTAAAAAGGCGAATCCATGTTAAACAGCTCCTGAAAAAGTTTGAATATGCATAAATGCCTATGAATAAGCATTAAGCTGATGAAATATGAAATGTATTTCAAGATGTCTCCTGTCAATAGCGTGCGTGCCTCTGGCAGATCGCCAAGCACCCAAAGTCGTATCCCTTTTGCTTTTATGTACCCTATYGTCATTTATTAAAACCCTTTGAATTTTAACAAGAAAGTGAATCTCGTTTTTCACAAGAGTAAAATATACACCTTCAAAATTTCCCTACAATTGCAGCATTGACTCAAAAGAAAGTGAAAATATGAAGAGGCTCTGGAAGACAGCTCTCCCAGCATGTATCAGTGCAGTCACACATATTGATCGGCTATAGTTGTTGGAAAAATAAATAAAATCAATCAAAACATTTATTTTTAATAGGATTAAATTAATACTTATTTGAAATAACCTTATATCAAAAGCAAAAATGCTATGTCTTCTGGTATCTTCAGGCAATATTTATCTTTTAATGCTTAATTCTTGTGTTCAGTGAATGTTCACCTGAAACTCTAAAAGAATTTTCTTCAAGATTCATAGTCCAACATATTTTTATCAGAATGGTGTTCTTTTGAATAAGTTGGTATAGGATCAAAAGAAGCAGAATAGCAGAAGAACTTGAAAATGTTACAAAAGGACATCTGGTTTTCCTCCTCCTGCTACCTCCTGTACCAAACTAAGGGAAGGAAATGGCAAGCACAGAAAGGAAGCACATTAACACTGAGAAARAGCAGGCAATCTGTACATTTTTCTTTTTTGCAGGTTTACACCTATTTAGAAAAGAGGCACGTGGCCCACRAGAGCTGCAGACACACTGCTGCAATTGTAAACTCTCCTAGCAATAAACAGATTTCTGACAGAACACAATGAAATGAATCAGGTCCGTGTACTACTGACTAGCTGAGATTCAGAGCAAAGGGGTTACCTTAATAGGGCTTCCATTTGGAGTGAGAACCTCTTCTGAAAGCTCCATCATCTTCAGTGCCATCAGGGCAATGGCTTTAGCATGACTAAGGCTTTTCTTATGGAGCCCTGCTGCAACACAGTATGCATCACCTATTGTTTCCACCTGCAGCAATCAGACAAACGGAGTRTTACAGTATGATAATGACAGGGGAACCCTACCATTAGGGTTGCAATCAAACAGCATTGCTTGAAACATGTCAGCAAAACATCCATAAATAAGCAATTASACAAAAGAGTATAATTACCTGAGTTTGCAAACAGCTGCAATCAAAACCTGACATGCAACTTCAAAATGGTTTATCATCATTACAAGTAAAGATCATTCAAAACAGTGTTTGGCATCASCTGAGATATGACAACATTTTCCCACAGCAGTAACACAGAAAACTGCAATTTCCTAAAGAGAAATTGCTTGCAGCTTCATTTCGTACTATCCTGGCTGAGTTGGCTCTTGAGTAAGAATAGTGCTGCATAATTATAACTCATAATTAGTATTTGATAAGCTAGAAAATTGTTATCAGTAAGATAATTACAAAAAGCAAAACATCACCATAAAAAGCAGTGAAGACTATCTAACTTCTTATTAGTGGGTAGCTCTTCCTGGTGTAATTTACAAACAGATGATACGGCTACAGAATTTTGATTGCACCTTTCTCCCTTATTTTCAGGTAGGAATTCTTGTCTCTCTCTACTATGCAGGCTATCTTTCTCTGCATTCCCCACCTGCAGGCATGAAATCCAGCAGACTGATCCCTCTGGTCTCTTCAGGCAGGCCTTACTGCTCTCTTATCCTGATTTTCTTTAAAAAAAGCTGTCCCACAGGAGGAAGTGGGAGCAAAATGAATTGCAGGAGTCCTCTGGCTCTGGATAAATGCAGCCTGAGAAACACTGCAACCCTCAAGGTTTGCGGCTTTATTTACAGCATTGTGTTTTGCAGTCTGCTTGCCCATACATCTGTAACATTTTTACACAAAATCCATTAACAAGGGTCCAAACAGACCTCAAGGATTAGTTTGGGTTTTGCTACATAACTGATCTGGCTTTCACCCTGCACACAACACTACAGGCATGCCAGAAAATGCTTCAGCAACTACTAGGGTGAGAAGAAAGCAAGCACTGAGGAAGGAGTTATTCAGAGAATAAATATAGCTGATTTTTCTCTCTGCAAAGAATCTGCTTAGTAGTAGACCTGGATTTCTCAGATTAATTTCCAGTCTTGATAAATTTGAAATAATATCTCAATACAAATAGTATCTGAAAGAATAAGCATTACATGTAAATGCAGAGCAGGAACCTAGGACAGAATTATGAGCAAATACTTCCCACCATCAAACTCGACCTGCTCCAAGCCCACTGAAGTTTGCCACCTTAGCCCTTCTGGCTGGTTGTGCAGGAGGATGTAAATATAGATGAGAAGCTGAGGGTTTCTCATGGGCTGAGCCAGCCATTAGAACTCCTTCAACACCTCTGAAARCTCCTAGCAGTACTTGTATATAGAAAAAAAMCAAAAAACATGCAGGAGTTGATTGTGCTGTCACACTGAGCAGTCTGCCTGCCCAATTTACCCAAACTGTATCTCAGGATATCTGTCCACAAGAAGCAGAGACTACCAATGCCTTGAAGTTTAGGAGGTTGTTTTTCCAAAGACAAATAGATGGGAAAGTATATTGCAATGGCTCATGAAAAATGTAGAAACGGGGCAAAAAAAACCATGAGAAGAGTGAGAAGAAGTATCAGAAGTTAGAAAGACAGGCTGGAAGAAAGAAATGGTAAAAAATTCTCTAAACTGGAAGAAAGCATTAGCAGAAATACGTTGTCATTCATGAAAATCATGAATAAATATAATCAGTAGGAATAGACACAACGGGGTTGCTATCGAAAGAGCTGAGTCTCTGATGTTAAATACTAAAACTAAATATAATTTCTGCTCCTTGTTTAATGACTTAATTTCAGAATATATTTTCCACTAAAGTTGGTTGCATAGATCTGGGATCATATACTGTTCCTGCAGTGTTCAGATAAAACTACTTATTCTGTTAGCTTCTTCCCCCTCGGAAATTTCCATAGCTGTAATTTAACAGCTAAATTCCACATACTGAATGTACTGTACTACCAGAAAAAAAAGGGGACTGAAGCTGCCTCGCGTTACTCTTTATATAAAAATAAAAATTATAATAAYGCTGTTACTCTTTGAAGTGCTTGCCCCTATGGAGCTCATCTGACAGCAACACTGGAGAACCTGGGGAAGGAYTAGCACTGCTTAGACTGACCTGGTAGTTTAAACTGGATGCGATGAGTACAGACAGGGCTAKCTAATGATCTACCATTCTGTGACCCTGTTTTCAGTCACTTCTAAGATTTTCCCCAGCCAAGCTAAGCATTTATGCTGAAATTTTCATTATGAATATCTCCACCAAACCTTAATCTTGGTTCCAACCGCCTTCGAAATCAGAGTTGACCAATCTTCCAAATGTTCCAGAAGTTCTTGTAATTCAGATTGTTCATGGAATTTTCATTCRGTCCACTTGTATGGAGTCATAAAATTATGGAGTGGTTTTGGTTGGGACATTTCAAAATAATCTAGTTTCAGCTGCCTTGCCATGGACAGAGACATCTTCCACTAGACCAGGCTGCACAAAGCCCCATCCAAACTGAACTTAAACACTTAAGCACTTCCAGGGATGGGGCATCCACAGCCTCTCTGGGTAACCTGTGTCTCAACACCTCCATGGTGAAGAATTTCTTCCTTATATCCAGTACAGTCACTTTGGTTCATAACCATTGCCTACTGGCCTGTAACTATTGGCCTTGGTAAAATGTTACTCTCCAGCTTCCTTGTAAGTCCCATTTATACATCAAAGGTCACAACAAGGTCCCCTCTTTTCTAGGCTGAACAACCCAACTCTCTCAGCCTGTCTTCACATGAGAGGTGCTCCAGCCCTCYGGTCATTTTCATGGCCKCCTCTGGACTCGCTCCAACASSTCCATGTCCTTTTTGTGYTTAGGACCCCAGAGCTGGATGCAGCACTGCAGGTGGGGTCTCACCAGAGCCGAGCAGAAGGAGAGAATGACCTGCCTTGACCTGCTGGCCACATTCTTTTAGATGCACCCCCACAGTGTGGCTGGCTGGCTGGCTCAGCTGCAAGTGCACATCACTGGCTCAAGTCTCATTTTTCATCTATCAGTATTCCCAAGTCCTTTTTCTGGAGGGAAGATCTCATTCCATTCATCCTCCAGTCTGTATTAATCATGTGGCTTTCCCTGACCCACATGCAGAACCTTCACTTGGCTGCACCGGACTTCATGAGGGTAAATCAGGACATTAAAATAGAGACTGCAGTGAGAGTGATATACTGCACTTCAGAACTTCAGGCTGGGCCCCTGAGCGAGTCAGATGCATATGGGGAAGATGGGAATTTCTGCTGTCTCAGCTGAGGAGCAGCAATTGGACTAGAAACACAAAGCACTGCTCATAGCTTGCTCTAAGTATCCTCTGGGTAGATACTGAAACTGGGCACACCAGAGAGTAGCCCACTCCATAAATATTCAAGTAAATGTCAATAGGATAAAAAGAAAAGGAGGGCACTGCTCAAAGCATCTAAAAATTGCTCCACTCATATCTATTTGATACTCTTCAAGCTGATGATAYGCAGCAATGAAACTCCAGAGGAAATCTCTAGCATGTGATGAACTAGATTCTGAGTTTTTTACTTTGTAATGTGACTATTAAGATAAGTAGTAGTAGTAGTAGATTTGATTTTCATATCTTTCCTAGATACATCTGCAGGAAAAGGTATTTTGCTTTTAATATTATAAGACTGGGATGCATTATACCGCTTCTATGAAAAAATTAAATATATTCTGTTTTGAATATTAAAGCCATTTTTACATAAAACTGACAGTCTACCATTAGTAAGACTTTGTCTATTTTTTTTCCTAATTAAACCATAGTTTCTCATTAGTCTTCATTGTTCTAGCTACTCACTGATAGCCTGGCCCACCGTTACCAACTTTTTCCCCCTTTTCATTCATTTCCACTTACCATATCCAGCTTTACTGGAGCTTTCATTAAGTGGAAATTAATACAAAGCAACATAGAAGAGAAGTTGAACTTGGATTTCAAAATTAGATCTATAAAAACTGTATGAAAGAATTTCTATTCTTAACTAAAATTGGAAAATACAGGAAATATTGCCGCTACTTAAACTGCTATACAAAAGCCTCCTCTAAAGCCCTCTGTAACTCTCAAGTCACTGGAAATGTCCAAATGTTTTCCAGTCAGGCCTTCAACAAATCACATATTAAAATTAATAATTATTTTAAGAGGTTGTGTATACTTCAGTAAAACTTTCTAGACAGATATCCCAACATTGCTGAATAGTGAAGAGTGATAATAACACCGCATAAAGCAGCAGGAAGCAAATACTTTCTGCTTTTGGGAAGTCATTTTCTATACACCCAGCTTCTGTTAGTCTTTAGTAGATACTGCATGTCTGCTTCAGATCTGAACTGTAATTTTTACAGAAGGTGAACCCTATAGTAATTGTCTTACAGACCCTCATTCTTAACTCATAATCATTTCAGGTGGAATATGACTTGCAAATCCATTTGGTAGCACAGGAGTCAGAATTTAATTTCACCAATTCTAACGTGTCCAAAAAAAAAAAAGTAAGAAACATCATTTGGCTACTTCCTGGGTATAAAGCTGGGGAGTTGATTTAGTGACAGTTTATAAGGGAAAATGTGGTTCATTGAGTTAAYATCCCTGCTTTGCATCCTTCCTCATGAATGCTTGAATATGCACCAGTCATTGCATTTGTGAACTTCCAGAAGTAATGAAGGAATTGAAGTGTCACACCTCATTTCACAGAGCAACATACATGGGGTAGAAATACCATTTTGTAAGTGAAACCTGAAATGGCAGGCTAAAGATTTTCCATCTAAAATATTCAGGAATTCAAACAGTCTAATGAGTCTTAGAATCTTTTTCAAAGCACAGCTTGGAAATAAACATATAAATATAATTGCRGGGTTCACTGTGTGGCAATTCTAAAATTCCTACTGCAATCAGAAATATTAAATACATCAAAAGGGAGAATTGGC